CACCCAGACCACTCCAATGGGCAGAAGTGGTCTGGGTGCCTGGAGTGTCCCTTTAATTACTCATCCTTATAGCAGAGCTGTGCTCTGCCTCCTTGGCTGCGATCTTCATAATTGACAAGATCAGCAAATCCAATGCTTTCCCATAGGAAAGCATTGGGAGGCTGTCATGTTGCAAAACGCCGCTGTTCTATCAGATACCTATATCTATCAGATTTCTATATTGACGTCACTTCCGGTGCCCCCATGTCACCAGAAGTGACGCGAGATCAGTTGCGCGCTAGCAGTCCTCGAGGTATAGAATTCTGGTGGAGGCACCGCGAGCATGTGTGCCTCCTCTGATGACGCTCGATCAGCTGGGCCTTTAATCTGAAGGGTGTACGAGACATCAGCACATCCTTCAGCTATAGAAATCTGATGGGTGTAATGCGCATGCGCGCAGCCCATCCATCAGATATAGCAATCGGATGGGTGTACTGTGCATGCGTGCAGCACATCCATTAGATATTGCAATCTGATCTACAAATCTGACGGATTTCTGTACCACAGCTTTCACTGTGTAGTAACATACACAGTGTAGGCGAATGTGGTGTTATATAAGGGAGATGCACGGTTAATGGGGGTGACACACATGTATAGGCGGTTAATAGGGGTGATACAAATGGGATGGGGGATATGGAGGGGTGACCAAAAATTGCCTAACAACCCAGAAGTCCCTCTAGTGGCTGTCTGGTAGCCAGCCACTAGAGGTGGAGTTAACACATAAAGATAATTATTGCAGTTGCACTTGCAATAGTTACCTTTACACGGTTAAGGGACCTGGGACACTGAACCCAGACCACTTCAATGCGCTGAATTGGTCTGGGTGCCTATAGTATCCCTTTAAACATGTCAGTAAACATATATATAGAAACATATTAAAGTAATTAATCAATTACACATCATTGCAGTTACTACGACATCAGGCGGATGGTGAAGAGGAAGGTGAAGGCAGCAGCCGCCTCCAGGAAGACAGGAGGCGGTTCACAAGAACCGGACCTGCTGCCCTATGAAGAGGAGCTCCTGCAGTTCCTGGGAAGAGACAACCTCTTTGGGATTGAGGGGACAACTGGCGCTGAAACATCTGAAGGTACGTTGTTAAAGGACCACTATAGTGCCAGGAAAACAAACTCGTTTTCCTGGCACTATAGGGTAATTAGGTCCCCCCCACACCCTTGTGGCCCCCTTCCCACTTCAGCCACTTAACTTTCTCCAACCCCTTCAGCCACTTACCTTTCTCCAGCGCCGGGCTCCCTCGACGCTGGGGAACGCGGAAGCGCCTCTAGTGGCTGTCAGTGAGACAACCACTAGAGGCTGCATTAACCCTCAGTGAAACAGCAGTTTCTCTAGAACTGCTATGTTTTCAGCTGCAGGCTTTAAACTAGAGGGACCTGGCATCCAGACCACTTCATTGAGCTGAAGTTGTCTGGGTGCCTATAGTGGTCCTTTAAATTCATATCTGTTAGTTGACATGTACATATATCAGCTTTCTTGTGTTAACCTTCCAATGTGTGTTTTCTATGCCATCAGTGCAAGCCCCTCAATCCCCAGAAGAGGCACCAGGAACTGCAGGAGATGCTGTCTCCATGGGCAGCAGGTTCACCTCCTCTATCCCTGGAAATGCGCCTGGCTTTACTTTCCTCTCGTAAATACTTGCATAGCATTGTTAGATAAATGTTATGTGAGTGTGTGTGTGTGCGTGCGCATTTAAACATACACACACACACACACATATGTGATTTTACTGTATATGAAGTTAATTTATCACATACATGTATTTCAGACCATCTGCAACTTGTCGACCTTCCATCACCACATATGAGTGTGGTTTCTCCAACAGCCGGCCACTGGTGTCCAGGAACAGGGATCCACTGCTGAGTGTAAGTAAAAAATGCTTTAACTGTACACATTTTCTTTGCAGGCATACTAGTTTATGTAACAGGCAGGGCTGGGTTGACCGCTAAGCAAACTAAGCGTCTGCCTAGCACGCACTGGCCAGGGGGCTCAATGTCTGGGTGACCAGCAGGGGTGGGGGGGAGCTCACATCGCTCCTCTCCTTCTGTTCACTTTATGTACTGTGGCTGAGTGGACCACGTGTGATCTTCTCTACCACCTACTTGGCCTGACAGGAAGCTGAGTGCAACGATCAGCTTCCTGTCATGCAGAAGAAACAGGAGATTCTCTACCTGGGGAAGCTCGGCCACGATACATGTACTGAGATTAGAAGGAAAGGGAGGTGGGCACAAAGAGGCACAAATAGCATGACTGCATATATCTTATTTCCAAGTTTAAATAATATTGTTGTACAGATGATAGTAAGCATTGCAACATATGACACATGCTAACGATGTTCTTTCTCTGTTCTCCCCTATAGGTTCTGATGGTACTCTCCCCCTGCAATAGGAGGGTACCATTACCCTAATAGCAGTGGATCTTGATTCAGTGACATCAGTGGCTGAAGAAATGCAGTTGCACAACTATCTCCACCGTTGGCTGCGCTGTATGTGACGATCCAAGCTCATCAAGCTGAACTGGAGACATCCATACAGAAGGATAGGGAGAATCAGCGAGAACTATTGCAGAATGTAATAACCGAGGTACGCTCCATGTCGAACATTTTGAATGAGGGCGTTAGGCAATTTACATCAGCAATGGTTTCCTTGCAGCAAAATATGCAGCGCTTTATGAAAATGAGGGAGGAAGAGTGCTTTCTAACGTGCGCCCAAGCTGCCCATAATTTGGGCATAACCATTGCTGATGTAGATAGCCTAGTTCGTGAACGACGTGCGCAGGGTCTTCCCAAAAGGGATGATGATGATGAATAGATATCTGTGGGAAGAATGCACAGATGTTTATTTCTCATTATCATCCACAATGTGAACACAACTGACTCTGTTCATCATAGGTTGTTACATTCTCAATTTCCTCCTAGTTTTCCCTATCCTTCCCCTGAATATACATTGGTTCATTCTCCTCTGCACTATATCCTCTCAGGACTGCTCCTAACACTTGCTTTTCTTTTTTTTTTAATATAAATTCTTTTATTCAATTTCTTACATGAATACAAATATCAGCACAACACCACAAATCACATAACATCTTTACACCATCAAAACATTCACAATGGACAAACAAATTACACTTTTATCTGTGGGATCAGGCTAGTATAAGAATATGTCTTAGCTCAGGACTCTTACTCTTCAAGCATTACCAGATCTAATGGATATCTGTTTAATTTATATAGTAGGTTCTATTTTATTAATCCATCTTTGCCATAGATCCCTTCTTTTTGTGGAATTCAAATATGGTATACTTAGGTCTCTTTCCATCCTCATCTGAAGGATGATTTGATCTTTAATGGCATCCCAATAAACTGCTTGATTAGATTTCCAGTTCCGTGCAAGAACAATTTTAAATGCAACAAGACAGTGAATTATAAAACAACTATTTATATATGACATGTTCGGCCAATGCATATGTAACAAGACTACCTCTGGTTTCTTTTCTAATTCTATTCCAGTGTTATCTCTAATAAATCCTATCAGTCTCTTAATAGAGGTCTGAATGTTTGAAGAACTCCACCAAATGTGGAGAAATGATCCCTCCTCTTTATCACATCTCCAACATCTAGAGGTAACTCCAGGGTACATCTGAGATAGCTTGCTAGGAACTAAATACCATCTATACATAACCTTGTAATAAGTTTCTAATAAATTTAGACATTGGACCTGTTGACGAGTATCATTTATTGCTTTACACCAATCTTCTTGTTCTAAGAGACACTTCAAATCTTTTTCCCATTTAGTCTTCTGGGGGAAATTAGCTACCTCATTAGTATTTCTAATTATCTCTATTGCTTTAGCTAAAACTTTCGGTATATTCTGATTTGAAAATATGCGTTTTATCATTATATGCGCTTTTCCAGAATCTTTATTAAGATGTTTCTGCAGAAAATATTTAAGCCTCAAGTATGTAAATAACTCTCGTTGAGGAAGATGGTATTTTTGTACTATAATATCAAAAGTCAATATTTTATCTGAGTTTAATATCTGTGAAACTTTATTTATTCCTTTAGATCTCCAAATTTCTAAAGATAAATCTTTCATATTAGCTTCTATTATCCTTAAATTTGCCGTATCCATAATTGCATATTTGAGGCCTATTTTCTTTTTAATTTCCTCCCAGACAGGCAACATTTGGGCCCATATAATATTATTTTTGATATCTATCCCTATATTATCTAGAGTTTTCGTATTCCATAGCAGACCTTCTGGATTTTTTAGTCTCAGATCTTCCATTTCAATACTAAACCAGCTTTCTTCTTGAACTGTCCCCGTCTGGGACCTATACATATGATTGATCACATTTGCCCAGTATATAACTCTTATATTAGGAAAATTTAATCCGCCTTCCTTAGTTTTTAATGATAGAATGTTTCTATTTATTCTATTTTTCTTACCCTTATTAATGAAATTTTCTAAATTGTTTTGTAATAGCGTCAACCATATGTCTGGGATCCTAAGTGGAATCATCTGAAATAAGTAACTCCATTTAGGAATAATATAAGAATTGATAACATTAATACGGCCCCACCAGGTAATCTGCATATTTCTCCACTCTTTAAGTAATAAATTTGTACTTTTTAATAGATTTAGAAAATTTTCTTCGATCATCCTCTCTATATTTTTAGTAACCAGTATTCCTAAGCAATTAAATTTCTGAGGTGCCCATGTAAATACATATTGATTACTAATTTCCTCTCTTATCTTCTTATCTAATTCAATACTCATCACAACTGTTTTTTCATTATTTAATTTATAATTTGCCAATTGGCTATACACTCTAACTTCCTCCATCAGATAGTTCAAAGAGCTAGCTGGTTCAGTAATTGACAAGAGGATATCGTCCGCATAGAGACTTATTTTAAATTCTCTCTCTCTTATTCTATATCATTTTATATCTACATTTTTCCTAATATTTTCCACTAGGCGCTCTATTGAAAGAACATATAGTAATGGCGAAAGTGGGCATCCTTGTCTCACCCCATTGTTTACTGATACCCAGTCTGAACAAATATTTGGGCCTACTATTCTAGTTGAAGGATTTTTATATAAAGCCATAATTCCTCTTAACAACCAGCCTTCTATTCCATATGCTTCTAAAGTTAATTCTAAAAACTTCCAATTTAACCTATCGAAGGCTTTTTCTGCATCAACTGCTAAGGTCATAAGAGGAATATGTTTCTTATTAGCATTATCAATTATATCTATGATTCTTCTTGAATTAGAGCCTACCCATCTATCTGGAATAAAACCTATTTGATCATTGTGAATGAGCTTATTAATGATACTCTTAAGGCGGTCTGCCAATATAGATGAGAATATTTTTACGTCTGAATTAATTAGAGAGATAGGGCGATAACTAGCCACAATAGTTGGATCTTTTCCTTGTTTCAGGATGGGGAGCATATTAGCTCTAGTCATCTCTTCAGGAAAACTTCCTATTTGAACCGCATTATTAAACGTTGATGCTAATTGTTTACTCAAAATAGATTTATAAGTATGAAAAAACAGATTAGAAAATCCATCTGGACCTGGTGTTTTCAACTTCTGGGTTTTAGATATAGCACTATTCACCTCAACTTCTGTAATCGGATTATTAAGACTATCTTTCTGAATTTGATCTAATTTAGTTAGATTTGTACTAGTTAAATACTGTTTAATCTTATTTGTAGTAGCTTCAGCAGAGAGATTATATAGTGACCCATAATAATCTCTAAAGCAGTCCCCAATATCTTTTGGATTTGTATAAATTATTTGATTATATATAATCTTAGATATACGAGCATTAGCATACTGTTTCCTCAGCTTATTAGTTAGCATCTTATCTGTTTTATTCCCTCTACAATAGAATCTCAATTTCAGTTTTTTAATATTTTCTATTGTTTTAGTATTTAAACATTGTAGAATATTTTTTTGCACTTCTGATATTCGTCTACCTTTCTCCATTGTGGGATATGCTTTATTGTCTGTTGTAAGCTTATAGAGTTCAATGTATAAATCTCCAAGTCTCTTTTCTTTACTTTTAGCTTCATGGTTTAGCTTTATAAGATAACCTCTTGTAACTGCTTTAAATGAACACCACGTATTTAGATATGAAGTGTCTGAAGGATCATTCTCCTTAAAGAAACATATTATCAGTTTCTCTAACTTGGTCTTACTACTTTTGTTATATAACCGATAGTTATTTAGTTTCCACGTTGTATTATTTATAGCTGTCATCTTATCTTTTATTTCGAATATATACATACTATGATCTGACCATACATTTTCCACTATATTTATTTCTACCAAATTATCTATTAGAGTTATATTACCCCAGATCATATCAATTCTTGAATATGTAAAATGTACTCTAGATAGATGGGTGTAATCTCTTAATTCGGGATTTTGAAGACGCCAAGCATCAAATAAATCATAATTGTTTTTAGTATTGGTCAATAAGCTCGCATTTTTAATTATTGTTTTGTTCATTACACTCCCTTTCAGCAATTTTTTATCCTTTTGTGGATCCAATATACAATGCGGCTGCAAAATCATTGTGGGAGAAGGTAAGGCTCAGCGGTGTTCGCGGAACTGTGTAGCTGATTTCAGTTCCATGAATTTGGCTACACACACCGCTGACCGCATAGAATGAACAAAGATGGCCGCCGCCACGTGTTCGTTTGCGCGAACGGCGGCCACCCAGCGGTCGGCAATTTACCTACAGCCGGCTCCCAGCCTGGGAGGTAAATTGCCTGCACACTTCCACTTCTGTGTGGTACTTGGTTCAGTAAGCCCCATTTACTGAACCAAGTGGAAAATAGCAATGAACAAAGGATTTTAACAGTCTGGGGGAAAAGTCTTAAAGGGGCATTTTTCCCAAAAGTCACAATATGTCCCCAGATGGTTCTTAAAGGGCCATACACAGTCCAATAATAGTCCATTCACTGTGCTTAAAGGGCCAGAAGCCGCACAATAAAAATCTAGTATGCCCAATCCATCCCAGGGGCCGTAGTCACAGGGCAGGAGGCGGGCAAGCAGGCCCCTCCAAAAGCTCATGGCAAACTCCCTTAAAGGGGTGAGTTTGCTACAATGGTGTTTTCAAAAGTTACTGAGTCAAATATAAGGCTTGCGTTTCAGTTTTTTCACATTGAAATTAGCCAGATTGGATACGTTGCCTTTGAGACTGTATGGTAGCCCAGGAATGAGAATTACCTCCATGATGGCATACCATTTGCAATAGTAGACAACCCAAGGTATTTCAAAAGGGACATGTCCAGTCTTTCTTAGTAGCCACTTAGTCACAAACACTGGCCAAAATTGGCATTCAGATTAGTTTTTTGCATTTTTCACACACAATCAGTTATTAACAATAACTTTGGCCAGTGTTTGTGACCAAGTGGCTACTAAAAAATACTGGACATACCCTATTTGCAATACCTTGGTTTGTCTACTATTGCAAATGTTATGCCATAATTTTCATTCCTGGGCTACCATACGGTCACAAAGGCAACATAACAAATCTTGCGAATTTCAATGTGAAAAATGTAACATGCTATATTTGACTCTGTAACTTCCCAAAACACCATAAAACCTGTACATAGGGGGTACTGTTATACACGTGAGACATCACTGAATACATATATGTGTTTTATTGCAGTAAAAGCAAACCGTATTATGACATTCACAGTTAAAATGTCATGGAGAAAGAAAAAAAAAATCTTATTTTCTACCATTCTTTAATATATTATTCATATTAAATTATGTTTTATACCTGTGAATTATAGCTCCCAATCCCCCAAACATGAGCCCAGACTTCATGAAGGGGTAAAAACGGTGTGTTTAATGGTGGGCCCAGCTCAGCCTTTTATGCAGGTCCTCCAGCAAGGGATACTCCCACATGGACCTTGATTCACTATGTGAATCACTGCCACAGAAACAGTAAAATCCCTCCCCTCTATCTTGGAGATAGTTGGGTTAAGTAGCCGTAGAAGACTTAAAGGATCACTACAGTGTCAGGAAAACAAAGTGGTTTTCCTGACACTATAGTGCCCTGATGGGGACCCACATAGACATAGTATACATAGATGCCACATTGACCGCTACTGCCTGCTGGTGCTGATGAGCCACGGGCCCGCCATCTTGAAACGGGCACCACTCTACTCAAGGTATTAAAGAACACTTGGAAAGTCCATCTGTCATTCTCATTATCCCTGCACTGACTGAGTACTACCATTCTCATTATCCCTGCACTGACTGGGATCAGTGCATGGATAATGAGAATGGTAGTACTCAGTCAGTGCAGGGATAATGGGAATGGTAGTACTGAGTATAACTACCATTCCCATTATCCCTACTCTACACTAACTGAGTCCTACCATTCATATTATCCCTGCTCTACACTAACTTAGTCCTATCATTCCTCTTACCTCTGCTGTCAACATCGCCCGTCCCATTAAATCAGTCCATAGGAAAGCATTACTGTAACGGATCGCCTGGCGCCCCGACTGGGTACCTCCATTGAAGGATGCTCCTTGCACTTCCTGAGGGCTCCAAGCACTCCAGCAGACACCACAACCACAGCAGACCGAACCTTCAGCCTCCTGACCAGAGTTACTACATCAGGATGTAAAGGATCACCTTGAACAACCTCTTGGCGTTCAAGGAAAACACCCATCTTGCTCCCTAGATGGGTGAAAACAGGGATTACCTTTCCCAGATTGTCAGTGTTCAAGCTTTAATTTTCAGTGGCATCCCTGAATGGTTTCAGGACTGCCACTAGCTGAGCGATCACTGACCAATCGTCTCTACCTAGTGGAGAACCAATACCAATGTACTGGTCTGATGCCAGACTATAGATTGCCCTCTGCTGCTCTAAAATCCTCTCCAGCATCTCCACAGTAGAGTTCCACCGTGTACTGACATCTTGTCGACACCTCTTTTGCTACCAGTCACACACCCTCTGGATCAGTTTCTCCCTCCAATTTGTTAAGTTATTGGATCTGAGTGCAAGCTTTCCCTTAATCCTTGGATCACACACGCTCACGTAGGCGAACCTTAAGCTGATCCTTCAGCCTCCTGACCAGAGTTACTACATCAGGATGTAAAGGATCACCTTGAACAACCTCTTGGCATTCAAGGAAGACACCCATCTTGCTCCCTAGATGGGTGAAAACAGGGATTACCTTTCCCAGATTGGCAGTGTTCAAGCTTTAATTTTCAGTGGCATCCCTGAATGGTTTCAGGACTGCCACTAGCTGAGCGATCACTGTCCAATCGTCTCTACCTAGTGGAGAACCAATACCAATGTACTGGTCTGATGCCAGACTATAGATTGCCCTCTGCTGCTCTAAAATCCTCTCCAGCATCTCCACAGTAGAGTTCCACCGTGTACTGACATCTTGTCGTAGACAGTGTGTGGGAAGACCTGCCTTCTCTTGTTCCTGCCTCAACAGTTGGCTAGCCTTCACACTCTGGTGGAAGTGCCCAGCAATCCTCCTGCACCTTTCAATCACACTGGAAACTCTGTTATTACCTTCTGGGATTGCTGACTTTACTACTAGATGGATAATGTGCACTGCACAGCGCACACCAACAAGGTTACCATCACGTAGAGCTTTCACCATATTTGTAGCTCCATCAGTAACCACAAACCCTACTTCTACATTGGTGCCTGCCTCCGCTCCAACCCAAAGAGATACCATCCTCCTTACTGCCTGCAGAATGTTATCTGAAGTGTGTTTTTCATCCATCACTTCAGCATGGAGAAGGAAAGATCGATAGCCCAGCTAGTAGTACCAGTGGTGGTGGTGATTGTTGGCACAGTTACACTGGTGGTGGTAACTGTGCTACTGCAAGGAGGAAAAGTGGACCTGGAAATAGTAGTGGTAATAATTGATTGTGGTGGTGGTGGTGGTGGTGGTCTGCTAATGGTTGAAGTAGCACTAGCAGGTGCTACTATTGGAGAAAGTGGAGAGGAAGGGGGAAAATGTGCACTTGTAGCAGAAGAAAAGGTTGGACTGCTCCCTGAAGAATTCTGACTTTCCTCTACTATCTCATCCTCACTCTCATAGTCAAACTCTTCATCAGCCAGACTAAATGCAATCCCTGCAAGGCTGGGGGTAAGACTGATATCACCTCCAGGAATAATAGGACTAGGAGCACGGGTAGCATTGGCAATAGAAACAACTCCTGTGCTGATGTGCCGCTGTCAGTGGTAGAAGCAGGCGCAGCACTGGTGGTGGTGGTCTTGGGAGGGGGATTAGGAAACAGCCTCCGTGTACGAGAAGGAAGCTTCTTAGCAGCACGACTCACAGGCCTGCTTGTGGTAGAGGAAGATGCTGGGGGCAAAACACACTTCCTCTTACTTATTGGGCTACTCCTACTACTAGTTGTGTTTTTACTAGTAGTACTATTCATAGTGCTCACCCTAAAAAGCCCTGCTGGTTTCCCTTTACCATAGAAAAGACTTGTGGTTCTGGGCTTTGCTGCACTACTGCCTGCTATTGGTGCTTTTCCTTAACCAGGATCCAGCACCAACGGGCCTGAAATGCGAGACAAAGACTTTGGCTTCCTAGGCGGTGAGTCTGACATAGTGGCACTACTTGAGCGCTTAAGCTGACGGATAGGCAACGTACTCAAACTACCACTACGTGTGGGGGTGGCGGTGGTGGTTTTGGTGGTGGCTGACTGACCCTCATTCACTTTACTAGTGGATGAACGTTTAGGAGAATCCATTTAGAATTTTAAAATAGTAAGAAAAGAAAAGAAGTTGAAGAAAATAAAGAGATAATGTAATGTAGTGTTTTGAAACGAAAGTTTATATTTTCATGAAAACTTATTATTTGAAGTTTTGAACTATGCTGATATATAGATCAACACAGTTAAAAAAAAAAAAATATATATATATATATATATATATATATTTAAAATAGAGACTAGTACTAAGGCAGATTTCACTTCAGTGGTTTCTGAGAAACTATGCAAACCTGCACTGTCTGCCAACAAGTGCTCCCTGCACAACTACTGCAAAAAGAGTATGAAAAAATTTATTATTATTAGAAAATGTGTTTTAAAAAATGGGTTAACTAGAATTTAGATTACTATCATTTAAATTAGAAAGAACCTATGACTTCTGCTAATACTAAAAAGAATAAAAGATGTACTACAGCTACCTTGAAGCTTAGCTTAGGACAGTCACACAGTCAATCTATCTGGAACTAAAATAAACCAAATAATAACAGCAACCAGTTAGCTTCACTGATTGCTGTTAAACAAGCACACTAACTGAACTAATAATCAGTTAATGAAAAGTAATTTCTTCACAATAGCAGTCAGAACAGTTTACTTCACTGCTGATGCTCATGTGAGCACAAAAACAAATGACTCTAAAAGTGTGAAAAATTTAAAACAAAAAATAGACTGTTTGACTAATGTGTTCTGTTCTAACAAAGCACAAAAAGACTGTACTACAACAAATATATATATTTTAAACTGAAGATAATTCTATCAACTTAA